TAAAAGGCATCTGGATACATATATGAATGGGAAGGGTTTAAGAGGGGTATAGACCAAATACTGGCGAATGGGACGAGAGATTTATTTAGAGTATCTGGTCAGCATGGATGCATTGGACCAAAGGCCTGTTTCTGGGTTGTACATCTCTCCAACTATGAAAATATTATTTTAGGGCTCCTGTAGTGCAGCGCCAGTGCCCCTCCCTCTGAACCAGAAAGCCTGGGTTCAGGTCTCACCTGTTTGAGAGACACACAGTCAGAGCAGTAGACATTGTCTACTTGAACTTCAGTAAAGCCTTTGACAAGGTTCCACATGGTAGATTACTTAGATCACATGGGGTTCAGGGTAAGCTTGCAGTGGGCTGAGACATGGCAGAAAGAAAGGAAGCCTTCTCTGGATGAAGAATAGCCCAAATCAAGGTGCTGCATCTTGATTTTCATTCTACATCCTTTTGAAGTAGAACTGCCTGACTTTCTTTCGGTTAGTTTTCCATTCCTTTAGGATCCAATACAATTTTTTTGGACGAATCAACTGTATCCCAAAGACTTTTCACGTTTGACATAATGTGTCAGATTCAAACATTTCAAATTTTTTTAGGTTGTTGGTTGCACGTTTCACTATGGTGAAATCCTATCACTTATCCTTAGATGGGATTCAACATTTGCATTTGAATACAGCCTTCAATTTGCCATATTCTTGACCCGGTCATCATTTTGTCATCAAGTATTGCCCATGGGTTCTGGATCCAGTTTTAAACCCTTCACTTTCTGCATTTCTCAAGCTTGTTCTTTTGTTAGCACTTCTGTTTACAAGGATTTCTTCACCAAGATAACAACCATACTAAAAGGAGTAATGCAACAATCCTTCTCATGACAAAGCTAGTGTCATTTCAAGCAAGCTTCCAATGAGAAGCCAACACCCACATACCAAAAAGAGTCTTAAAGGGTGTTCGAAAGTCAATTGCAACTGTCACTCAATTTCACAACACAACTGTTAAGTCATTTACAGATGAACATCAACGTTCCATTTGTGCCATCAGACCATTAGGAACCTGTTATTTTCCTTATTAGGCTTGAATTCACTAACTAATTGCAATCACATTTAAACCAACTGCAGATTAGTGTACATCAAATGGTGTTCATTCATAAGATTAAGCAGCATTGAAAAGTTATGGCGCAGATAGGCCAATCAGCCCTCTGGGTCTGCAGTAGCTGATTAAAACCTAGCTGCCCATTCTGATCCCACAATCCTACTTTAGATTCAGAAGCTTATACACTGCAGTATTTTGGGTGCAGATCCAGATTCCTTTGAACTAAGTTGAAGGTTTCTGCTTCAGATATCAAACCAGGCAGTAAATACACAATACCCCACACCCTTTGGACAAAAAAAAGGGCTTATCCTCAAGTCACCACCAACCTTTGCGTCATTTGACATTTGCATTGCACGATGACTGGCCTCTGCTTGGGAATGCAGGTCTTCCCAGTTCTAGTCCCTTATTTTGTACACCTCATTTAAAAAGTCAGCCCTCAGTCTCCTGTTCTAAAGAAAACATCTCTACCAACCTTCCTCATCTACAATTCAAGCCTGGGCAACATTGCTGTACATCTCCTCTACTCTCCAGAGCCCATATACATATGCTCATCTGTTCTGTATTGTAGCAACCAGAACCAATTTGAGCTGTAGCCCAACTAATACCTTGATATATCCCTGCTTTTGGTCTTTACTACCCTCATCCAACATTTTTTGATAATATTAGATTCCAAGAATGTCTGCATCATCCCTTTCCTTTCTGAAGGTAGATGTTGCTCAATCTTGCATGCACCTTCTGCATCCATTAAAAAGTTACATGTACATCTGCCAGGCCCTATACCTTCAACCCATACACTTCCCTCAACCTGTAAACTATTAAAGAAAATTTCACCCAAGCAGTTGTCACCAGACAGCTCAAACCTTGCACTCCCAAAACAACAAACCAAACAACAACTTGTGATTCTGAAAGTGCATCCAGAAATTTTGCATTGGAGTGCTGGAGATTGTACAATGCAGTCAGTTACATTGGAGCACCCTGCTGTGAAGTTCAGTTTTTAACAAGAGAGTTAGAATTCTAAGTATGCTATGCTTTCATGAGGAAAGTGTCTTTTTTTTAATATAAAGCAAATCTGTGATAAGTACCACAACCGTTGTATCTATTAGGGCAACAGTAATTTGATTTTACTTGGAGAAATCATGGCTGCTGGCCAGTTTAGATACTGGTCAGAAAATCTAGCACACAGGATCAAGTTGACACTAAGGGACAACTACTCAACATCTAGAAGCCTCTGAAGTCCAAAACAGACATGGAAACTGGTGTATTCCACCTCCTGGATACCAAAGGTACTAAAACCCGCTCAACTCTCAAGTAACTATTTAAAACTAGATATCAAATTCACCACTCCTGAAAATCCTGTTGACTTCACCTGCTGTCTCCCAACCCTCAATGGATGACAAAGTGGTAACGGGATCTTGAAATTCTGAAGATTGGTGGGAATGATTTTCGCTTTAGTAATTGTCACAGATGCAGCTGCTAAAGGTAGTATTTGCTGGAGTGACCACAGCATAGTTCTTGGAGACAAAGCCCTCTTTTCACTGAGGATACACTCCACATTGTATGGCACTAGTGTGCAGAGGATCAACAGATTTAATAGATCTAACAGCTGAAAACTTGGCATCCATGAGGTACTATGGCCCATCAGCCGAATTGTTTTGAATCCAAAATTAGCCTCTTCCTGCCAGATTCCCCACTTTTGCACTATTAAGCCAGTGGATCAGCCTGGTTCAACGAGAGCACAGGAACAGGAACAGCAGTACCAGGTATATGCAAAGAGGTGTCAACCAGATGAAAATACAAAACAATGTAAGCATCATGCAGAGTTAAGCAGTCCCAGAACCAATAAATGAGATACAAGCTGTGCAACCAGTAGTCGACAACTGCACAATTCAACACTGGTGGAGGGTAAGCAATGGCCAAGTGGTATTATCACTGAACTGTTAATCCCGAGACCCAAGAGGTTCAAATCCTGCCACAGCAGATGGTAGAATTTAGATTCAATAAATATCTGGAATTAAGTATAATGATGACTGAATCCATTGCCAATTGTTAGAAAAACCCATCTGGTTCACTATTATCCTTCATGGAAGGAATCTGCCATCCCTACCTGGTCTGGCCTACGTGACTCTACACCCACAACAATGTTGTTGACTCTCAACTGCCTGATGGGCAATAAACATTGGCCTAGCTAGCGACACCCTCATCCCATGAATGAATAAATAACGAAAAAAATCCACAAATTGCCCCCTCAATGGAGGGAGTCTGGTACAGTGCAAGGGGGAGAAACTGGAGCATTTGTACCCATGTTCAGCTAGCAGTATTAAGTGGATGCACGTCTGAGATTGCAGTACCGGATGCCAGTCTCCAATCAATTCAATTCACAAATAAATATACTACAAGAGACTTTGGGCTCCAACAGCACTCAACACATGCTCCAGAATTTGCCATGTCCCTAGCCAAACTATTCCACTAGATATCAACATTGTAACTGCCCAGCAACAAACAAAATTGCCAAGGTATGTCCTGAACACAGAACATGACAAAAGCAATCTGGCCAATTATCACCACCCTAGTCTTCTACTAGAGAAGTGATTGAAGAGGTTGTCAAGAGTACTCTCAAGCAACAGTTGACAAACAATAACCTGCTCACTCACGCCCAGTTTGAGTTCTGCTAAGGCCACTCAGTTCCTGATCTCATGACAGCCTCGGTTCAAACATGGACAAAAAGAGCTGAATTCCACAGGTGAGGAGAGAGACTGGCTGTCCTAAACATCAAAAGCTGCATTTGACCTAATTTGGCATCAAGGAGCCCTATTAAAACTGAAGTCATTGGGAAGTCAGAAGGAGAACTCTGCTGACTGGAGTCATACCAAAAGTAGAAATGTAATGGTCACATGTGATCCAAAACTCAGTGTTGTGTCACTCAAAGTACTTTCTGACCTGTGGCAGTGTAGTAAGGAAAAACAGCACTGAATGTTGCATAGCAAACTACTCTAAAAGACATGTTATAAACAGAATCTTCTGAAGGTACAAATCTTGGGCAAGACAGTAATATATCCCCATATCCAAGGCCAACACCACACATTACTTAAAAAAAAAATGAGTGACATGGGATCTTTCTTCGCTCCAGAGGACCATACAGGAACTCCATTTAATGTTCAGTCAAGTTGTGTGAAGACGCATGTTAAAAAATCCCTACCAAAGACATGATTTGCAGACTTAAAGTGCAGATTCCAAGTTTGAACTTGAATGGAACAGGAACTGCACAAGGGCTTCCGGCAACTGCTAAGGATTTGAGAGCTGTGTAATTTGATTGGATTCTTTTAAAAAAAACCAACCAGGTTCTCAAGGTGAGGGATCATTGTTTAACTCAATGCAACACAAACCTTTCCTGTTGGAACACTCAAAAGTAGCATTTCAAGCAAATAGATCTAAAATACTAAACTTTCGATAACCAATTGTCCCTACCTCTGGACTAACAGGACCTGGTTCAAGTCCCACGGGCTCAGAAAAGTGCACAACATCTCTAAACAGATCAAATAACAGCCATATTTTACAGCTTGAGTTGTCTCACCCAATTCTGGCCACACTTGAATGCCTAATGACACTACATACCAGGTCAGAAAAAAGTCCCTATTCACCTGCACAGACATCCAGAAAATTTGAAGTGCTCAGCAACAAGCAAGCATTTTTTTCCCCCCCTCAAAACTAGTTACTGAAAAAAAAACAGGAAAATAATTATCTTAAGACTTGATATTTACAGGTGTCAAAATGCAAAGTCATGGCATTAACTGCTTTTTGTCTAACACTGATGGATCTGCTGTGCACTTACTGCTTTTAGAATTTCTGTCAAACAATTATACTGATCGTCATGATTAAAAGTGAAATTAGAAACAGATCGCAAGCAACTTACCAGAGGAGAACTGTCGACAACTTCTTGCACTTGCTGCACCTGCGGTTCAGCCACAACTTTAGTGTCCTGGTCAGAAGTCATGAGCCGTCTGCTTTTTGGCTCTGTAGAGAGAATTTTGTTCGAAGAATCTGTGAACCAAACAGTAAACATAAGCAACTGTCTCAAATTTACAAACATACTTAAATCTGATTAAATTCTTTCAATCAGACATTTTATATACTCATTTCTCTGTTAACAGGAGAGCTAGAGTGCAGATTCAATAAGATATTACCAGTCATGAGCAACTATGACAGATTTGGAGTGAGGACCCTATCCCCTCCAGATAAACACTCCATTAATTTGATTCTTACAAGAAACACTAACTTTGAATGTATCACTTGAGTGGAGTTAATTAGTTAGAAAATCTCATAGCACTTAAACCGATTTCCTATACCATTATAATCCACCTAAGTGGCTCAATTACCAGTAGAGGTGCCAACAGGCATAATGGAACAGAAGAAATCTATGTTTATATGAGACCTAAAAACCTGTTTTTTTTTTTGAAACAGGGTCACTAAAAACAAAGCAGTACCAAGATCTCATGACATAAATGAGATGGGAAAAGGGAATTTATTGATGTTGATAAGGGATAAATATTGACCAGGGCACCAGTACAAAGACTCCAAACTTAGTGCTCTATAGAATTTTTTGCCTTATTCTAAAGAACCCAATTTTCAACTATTAGTCTGTAACAAGTGCTAAGAACAAACTCATTGAGCACACCTAAAGCTGCAGAGTTTTAGATAAAAATTCTCAGACTGCAAACCTCAGTGGTTAGCACTGCTGCCTCACAGCGCCAGGGACCCGGGTTTGACTCCATACAGATAGTCGCCCGATGTGCAAATTCCACCATTCTCCCTGTATCTGTGTGGGTTTCTTCCCACAGTCCAAGGACGTGCAGGCTAGGTGGATTGGCCATGCTGAACTGCCCATAGTGTTCAGGGTTGTGTAGATTAGGTGGGTTATAGGGGATGGGTCTGAGTGGGATGCTTTGAGGTTCAGTGTGGACTTGTTGGGTCAAAGGGCCTGTTTCCACACTGTAGGGGTTCCATGATCTTCTTTGATCTATGATATTTCAGACTTTGCACAGCAGCCAAGCCATATTCTCTCGTTACTTCTACAAAACTTTGAGAACTACCTGGCTGCCTCATGACTTAAAAGTTACGGCAAAAACTGTTGGAGAAATTCAGCACATCTACAGCATCTGTAACTGGAAAGATTTGTCCACTTCACTTTCCATTTTCCAACTTGCTCTCCTTCACCTGGTCCATTTCCAAGTTCCCTTTCAACTTGTTTCCATTTCTAGGGAAAAGCTGCCCACTGACATCTATCACAAACATAGACCAACTCCCAGTCACTAACTAAGCATCTTCACACCCTGCTTCCTTTAAAGGACTTCATTTTTCCACTTTCTCCGCTGCATCTCTTTTGATGATGCCACATTCTGCAGAGCAGCCTCAAAAGTGACATTTTTCTCAACCAAACTCCCCACTATGGTTGGCAGGACCAGCCATGTCTGATCCATTTCCTACTCATGCCCAAAACCACTACTCCCCCTCCTACTTTCTACTCCACCAGCATCCGCATCCAAAGGATAAGCTACCATTTCCACCACTTTCAGCAGATGCCACCAGACATGTACACCTCCCTTGTGGACATTTGACATGGAGTTCCCATGCCAAACGTGCCTCAGGCTTGCTGCAACCAGGTTCAACACAAGCCGGAGGAACACATCTTCTGCCTGGGTACATTACTTTCTTCAGAACTCTATCAAGCTTAATTTCAGAACACAAACTACTTCTGCTCATTACCTCTTCTCTTTCCCAACCCCTGCACCATTTCCCTGGCCTGTTGTGTTGGCTGCTTCCAGTACAGCCAGCACATTTTCAACCATTTATACTTGTCCTCTAACCTACCCAGTATTTCTCTATTGGTTTCTCCAGAGCAAGTATTTGACTAGCCCTTTTGTGCACCATCCCCATTCACTGCCACCCCCTCACCCAGACCATGAGCATAAACACTGCCCTTTCCCAGTGAATTAAAATCTGGGAAAAGAATCACTACTCAAAACATCAACTGTTTTTCCTCAATATGCTGCCAGAATAGCTGTCTTGAAGATATCAGTTGTACCTGTAATGAGTATTTCATCTTTACCTTTTGAGAAAAATTCAAGTTGTGCAATTCTACAAGCAAAACAGTTCCTTGATTACAATAACGCCTTACAAGTTGTTACTGCCATTCTTTGACCCCACCCAGTAAAATAGTTGGGTGTTTTGCATCAAAAGAAGGAGTTCATCACAAAGGTTAATCACAAAACAATGATTTGGTGATTTGTATTCTGCTAATACTCTTGCAACCATTTTCTACGTATTAGTTCTAATGAGACAGCCGGGGGCGGTGGGGTGGGGGGGGGGAAAATGGGTGGACACAAGTTAGACTCAATGCTAAGGTGAGAGGAGTGCACTTTAGTGGGAAGAACTGGGAAGTGTTAAAAACTCTGGTACTGTTTTAAAGAGGTGCAAAAATACACAGACACCAGGCAGGTGGAACATGCTCAAATCCGATGCCCACACACTGAATTAATAGAAAAACATGCAATTTTAAGTCTGCACAAATTCTACCCCTCAATTGTGTTTTCTGTATTTACATATTTCTGGGTACAGTTCAAATACATTTTTTGCAGGAATAAAATGACAACTTAAATTGAAAAGTTGAGTTTTGGTTCAAGTTAATGTGATCAGACTCGTGCTCAGCAAACACATTTGAACTGAAATTAAAAAACCTCAATTTACATGCTTAAGAATCTTGACAAGTACCAGAGTTGAGGAATAACAAACTAAGTTAGCCAAAATTCCACTTAATATCACTGCTCTACTTGAGTCCATGTGATCAAATTTACAGTAGTGAGACACAGTCTTCATTCTGATCACAATACTCAGACTGAAATGAGTGCTGCCAGGTCAGAAACTAAAAAAGGGTTCAAGATGAGCTTGCAAACAGATGCAACATCCTCCAAGATGAAATGGACTATTTGTTATCCCAAGTCTTAAGTAGTTTCCATGTAGAAAGCTTAAAGAATATGGGGACTCACTGAAGGAGGGACGTGATCAAGCAGCTGAATTGTGATCTTTAACCAAGTGCAAGAACTGGCAACCTGGAGTCACTATGACCTGCTCTGGTGATCTCATTCACACATTATGAACATAAGAACATAATCTGTACACAAATAGCAAGTCAGGGATCAATTTCATGGGTAATGTTTTTTTTTCCCCCATTCATTTCATGGGGTGACAGTGTCACTGGCTGGCCAGCATTTCTTGCCCATCCCTAGTTGCCCTTGAGAAGGTGGTGGTGCGCTGCATTCTTGAACTGCAGCATTCCTCCTGCTATGGGCTGACCCACAGTGCTATTAGGGAGGGAATTCCAGGATCTTGACCTAGCAGTGAAGGAACGGTGGTATATTTCCAAGTCAGGATGGCGAGTGTGACTTGGAAAGGAACTTAAGATGGTGGTGTTCCCATATGCCTGATGCCCTTGTCCTTCTACATGGAAGTGGTCATGGGTTTGGAAGGAGCTGTCTGAGGATCTTTGGTGAACTTCTGCAGTGCATCTTGTTGACAGTACACACTGCACTACTGAGCATCGGTGGTGGAGGGAGTGAATGCTTGTGGGTGTAGTGCCAATCAAGCAGGCTGCTTTGTCCTGGATGGTGTCTAGCTTCGAGTGTTGTTGGGGCTGCACTCATCCAGGCAAGTGGAGAGTGTTCCATCACACTCCTGACTTGTGCCTTGTAGATGGTGGACAGGTTTTGAGGAGTCAGGAGATGAGTTACTCGCCACAGTATTCCCAGCTTCTCGCCTGCTCTTGTAGCCAGTGTTTATGTGGTGAGTCCAGTTGAGTTTCTGATCAATGGTAACCCCCAGGATGTTGATAGTGAAGGATTCAGTGATGTTAACACCATTGAATGTCAAGAGGCAGTGGTTAGATTGTTTCTTATTGGTGACGGTCATAGCCTGGCATTTGTGTGGCAAAAATGTCACTTGCCACTTGTCAGCCCAAGCCTGGATATTGTCCAGATCCTGTTGTACGTGAACATGGACTGCTTCAGTATCTGAGGAGGGTATTGCTATGAAACAGCTGACAGTCTTAATGGGTTGAAAAGGATAACAGTGTGGACCTGGAGGAACACAGCAGGCCAGACAGCAGGAAAAAGTTAACATTTCAGGTCAGGACCCTTCTTCAGAAATGGGGACGGGGTAAGGGAGCTGAGAAATAAAGAGGAGGAGAAGTGGGGCTGGGAAAGGTAGGTGGGATGATGATAGGTGAGTGTAGGTAGGCAGTGGTGGGGATTGGTCAGTGAGGTGGGAGGAGCAGATAGGAGGATGATGATGATGATCATGGGATGGGGAGATTTTGAAACTGGTAAAATTCACATTTAGATCATTGGGCTGGAGGCTCCCAAGACGGATTATGAAGTGCTGCTCCTCCAGTTTGTGGGTGACATCACTGACACTGGAGGAGTTTAAGTGGTTTGCCACCAGAAAGTGTTGACATTTGTCGTGAACAGAGGTGCTCTACAAAGCAGTCTGAGCCTCCGCTTGGTCTCACTGATGTAGAGGAGGCCACATTCTTGCAGGAATGTGGGAGAGAGGTGTCGTCTAGGTAGACTTGAAATGTCGGTTTCGAGGCAGTCACCAGAGATGGAGACAGAGGTGCAGAAGAGGGAGGTATTGGAGACGATCCAGGTGAATTTGAGGTTGGAGTGAGAGGTGTTAGTAAAGTTGAACTGTTCAAACTCCGTGGGAGCACAAGGCAGCACCGATACAATCAATGTAACAGAGCGGTGGGGGAAAGAGTGCCAGTGTAGCAGCGGAAGAGGGACTGTTCCATGTCTCCTACGAAGAGGCAGACATAGCTTGGGCCCATGTGGGTTCCCATGGTCACCCCCTTAATCTGTATGAAGTGGGAGGAGTTAAAGATGATATTAAGGATAAGGACAAGTTCAGTTAAAGGAGATGAGGGTGTTGGTGGAGGGGGACTGGTTGGGCCTGCGGGAGAGGAAGCAGCGAAGGGCTTTTAGGCCACCCAC